TCTGCTGCATCTTACTGGGCTGCACTGGGCCCTGCTGGGCCGTACTGGGTTCTGCTGCATCTTCCTGGGCTGCACTGGGCCCTGCTGGGCCGTACTGAGTCCTGCTGCACCCTACTGGGCTGCACTGGGCCCTGCTGGACCGTACTGGGTCCTGCTGCACCCTACTGGGCTGCACTACATCCTACTGTGCAGTTAGGCTGCATTGGGCTGTACTGGGCGCTGTTGGGCTGTGCTGGACTCTGCTGACGTGTACTGGGCCCTGCTGGGCCGTACGGGCTTTGGGATGCGGTGCTCACACCGGCTGTCGGTTGCGGGGCTGCTTGGGGGGCTCTGGGGCCGGGAGGTGTCGGGGTGCTGCCCCACAAGGGCTGCGGCGGGTGAGGAGGTAGCCCTGGGCGAGGTAGTCGAGCGGGGGGACGACTCGGGAGTAGCCAAGGGAGTACTCGGGGAGCCCCAGCACCCAGGAGAAGTGATTTCTTCCATGGAATTTTCCTCCCTCCACATATGCCAGCGTCACGCAGCTCCTTGCTCCAGCACGGAGCCTGGGCTCGCCTCCKCTTCCGAAGCGGGAGGACGGAGCCCCGTGTCGGGTTTGGAGCCCGTGCCCAGCGGTGCCACGTCCCTGCGCAGCGCGGACGTCCCCACCGCCCCCATGACATGGGGCMCTCTGTCCGGGGAGGGGGACGGGGGGCATCCCTTCCATCATCCCCTGCCTGGGGGCACCAGATATCCCCAGCGTCCCACCTGCATCCACGCTGTCCCGAAGCGCCGTGGGCACCTGGGGCATGTGCAAAGGATGCCCCRTGGACCAGGCTTCCCCGGTGGGATAGCAGGGACACCCACCAGCAAACTGGGGGCACTGGGATCTCCAGAGCTCCAAGGCCATGGGCACCCCTGAGCCAGCCCTGGAACACAGCAGCCTGTGTTAGGTACGCCCTCGTACCTCGCACGGACAAAGGCACGGAGAGACCCAAGTAAGCRAGATATTTTTATTACGAGCTAGCTGGGGTCCAAGGCTCACCCTGGAAGGGGGTCTTGCCAGGGACCCCGAGGCATCTGCGCGAGAGGTTTTTATACATTTTAAAGTAAGGATATAAAATCATTAACCCCCCCCCGCCATGCTGTTTTGTCCTTTCGGGATTGGCTGATTCTTGTCCAATATCTTTCTYTTTGAAAACTTTTCCAAACTGTCCAAGKGTGGGGGTATCCTTTATGGAGTCCTTGCCGAACTGCTCAAGTGTGATTTTTCTTATCTGTCCATGTGAATGATTTAGAAGTGTCCTTGATGCACGTTATCGATGCTCGTAATTTACCATCTTCCAGTTAGCCCAAGCGCGGGTAGTTTGTGCTTCAGGAGGAGCTGCAGGGCTGAGGTTGGGGATGCTCGCGGCAGGGATGAGCGACGCGGCTGAGGCTGGATGTGCTCGCCGCAGGGATGAGGCTGTGCATGACTGCAGTTGGGAACAGCGCAGGACTAAGCCTGGGGGGAACTCAAGGCAGGGCTGGCTGAGGGASGCACAGGAGGCGCCTGGCACGGGCTGCCCGCGGGGACCGGTTCATGGGAGGGCAGCTCCGACCCTCCCGTCGCCGCCGCAAACCGCCCTCGAGCAGCGGCTGGCGTGCGGCCGCCGCCCCTTTAAGGCGCCGTCGGGCCGCCCGCGGCAGAGCACCCTGGGAGCTGCAGTCCCGCCGCAGCGCTGGCCCCGCGGCGGGGGCGGGGGCGGGACTACAGCTCCCGGCAGCCCCCGCGGTGGCGCCGCCTTAAAGGGCCCTGTGAGGAAGCGGCGCGCGGGGGCCATGGCGCGCGAGGGCGTCGAGTGGAGCGCGGTGGTGCTGACGTGCCGCGGGCGCGCCGCCGCCGCCGCCCTGCAGCGAGGC